TCATTTTCAGATATGAGAAGTTTACCTATTATGCAAACACACGACAAGCAAACAGGTTCTATTTCCTCAGAAAGTCTAATCAAGGTACCTCCCAATGGATACCAGTGGGACGAAGACAAGAACCCAGTCTGAAAAAAGCTAAGATCTTAAAATGAACTAACAAGATGTGTTTGTTTAAATTTATAAGGCCAGGCACGTACAACTTGGAGCACTTCATGAGATTCTTCTCAGGTACAAAGATTGAATTGGTCCACTGGGCTGAGCAGGAACTGCATGCAGCTGAGAAATGAAAGCTTTTCTATATAAAAGGTTAAATATTTTTCATAAAACATGTATTTAGTGGAATGTTTATTTGCAGATATAAGCAGTCGTGCAAGAAAAAAACCTCTATCTCATGGAGATCTATTTTACAGGAAGATTTTTAAAAAACCCTTTCAAATTCCCATACAATGCCAACCTTAATGAAGCTGGCACAACACCTTCTTTTTGTCTAGCTTCCCTAAGTGCGACTTAATGACAGCTATCATCAAATCATTGTTTTCAGATGCTCTCAATTCACATTCACACCTTGCCAGAAATATCACCTGGCACTTCATTAAAAAAAGATTTTTTTTTTCTTAAATTCTAGCTGATAAATGACAGAAACCACAGCAAAAAGAAGTCTGAAGAACGTCATTAGAAGCTGATCATCTTTTAAAAATATTTTACCAAAAAGCTCTGGGTCTGCTCTAGTAGTTGAACCTGAATTCTGCAAGGAAGTGACTGAGCAGAGTCAGACATCCTTTTTGAGTGAAATTAGTCAAGTACAATTTGCCTGGCTGGTCCCCTCTCTATACATATTAGGACTGATATTCAGACAATGATGAGTTTCATCATGGTTTCCAAACAAAAAGAGAAAAAGAAATTAAAAAAAACCTCACGAACCTATCATGTTTATTAGGAACAGACTGCATTTTCACTGTCAAAAGGCAGCGATGAAGCAGCTGAAACAATGAAGAAAATTCCTGTTCAGAAATGCATGCTAGTAGCAAACAGCAATCTTTCCTCATAGCAGGAACTCGACCTCAAATATGTGCTAGCTGATTGCTGTCAGACTTACTGAAGACAAAAGGAGACATTTTATTAAAGGGCAAATGCCAGGAGGCAACAAAGCTGCTGCAGGGCCCCACTAGAGGGATGGCTTTGCTCTGATTACAAAGATTATCTCACAAGGTCTTTTTTCCCCTTCCAAAATGAACATGCATTCAAATTCACACAAACTGCTGTCAAGCCCTAAGGAATGAGAAAGATAATGTGGTAGGATCTAAGAAGATAAGTACCAGGAAGAATGCTGAGGGAAGAAATACAGAGCAGAAACAGCCCCAGAGCCGAGTCCTGCTAGGGGGCACTCATCTGAAACACCAGCAAAGGTGAGAGGGCAGCAAAAGGGCCCTGGGACTCATGCTGGGGAGGCAGCTGCTGGAGCTGAGCACCTGCGGGGATTCTGCTGCCATGCCTGCAACTCACAGAGCTGCTGAGCATCAGAAAAGACGAAAACTCTGCAGGCTTTAAGAAAAGCTATTGACGAGAGGTACTAGAAAAACACAAAGGTTCCATATAAATAGTTTATTTTTAAAAATTCAACTTGTTGGTGCCCCTTGCAGATAGGTGGACACAAAGGATGTCCTAATGTGTATTGGGAGCTTTGCTTTTTTTTTTTTTTTTAATTGTGCCTTAATGAATCCTTGCAAGACACTACAGCAGCAAAAGCTGGCTGAAGGAACAACGTGCTGCTTGCCCTTCCCAAGTGCACTGCACACCTACCTTGTCACAGAAAAAAGGCAGCTGCCTGGCAATTACCCCAGGATGATCATTTGCAACCCATGTTATTCTCATAAGGCAGACTGCTTCATCTGAGCAGCACAAAAGAGGCTTTGAAAATTCATTTCAACATTCTTTTCTCCTTAAAGCCATGGTCAGTTGTTATCTTTACGGCATGTTTCTATAGTGACCGACTGCTACAGCAATACTCGATACATTTCTTTTTCCACATGAGCTTAGAAACTCAAAACGGTATCTAAACAACTTTCTAAAAACTGAGCTGCATGCAGTAAGATGGTTTGGTAGCCTACTTTGTCACTTCAGCTCTCTCAGCTCTTGAGACAATACAAAAACAAACGAATGAAGCATTTACAGAGGAAAGCAAAGTTCTTCATGGCTTACCGACAGTTACTTAAAAAGTTTTATATAAAAGACCAGGAAGAAATGAATTCCCATTACCTTAGAGCAGTACCAGACTCTTCCTTTCAGGCAAGCATTTCATTTCTTCAGCAGCTTTCTGTCTGCTTATTTTGTGTTGGCTACATTACAGGGACCCAAGAAAGGCTGCTGCACTTGGGGCAGAGAGCAATAAGCAAGAGAGTCTTTATGTGCAGGTAAAGCACTGCGTTCCCAGGGGGAGATGGCAGCATATTTTCACACTAATGTGGTAGTGAATCATCCCCCTGGGATAAAGGTGAAAAACATTAGGAGGGGAATGTAGTGGGCTGGAATAATAATAAAAGGTGGATTCAGCTGGTTCAGGTTTTACATATGCAAATAAACAGTAGGAGAGGGGAAACAGAGAGACATGAGGTAATGAGGAGAAGGAGCAGGTGTATCTGTCTTCCTGGAGGCTGAAGGAAGGAAGATATTAAACTGCACTTTCTGGTAAATTGCCACTGCCAGTTATTGACAGAGTTGTCAATTACACGGGATTATTTAGACTGATGATACAGGAAGAAATGGGGATTTAAAATCACATGGGACTAAAAGCAGAGATGGGGATGTGCTGCAGATGATAAATGGAGTAGATTGAAACGAAAAGAGCAAGGAGGCCAGCCTCAGAGGATGTAATTAAATAGCCTTAATTAGCATATTAGACTAGTGCTGCAATGAAACCATATACCTACTTTCAAAGTTCGATTTTAGAAAATAAATGTTACCTGAGAGGAAGAAAGAACAAGAATGTTCTACACCATAAGACTGTATAGACATAGAATGTATTCAGATAACTTCTACTTTCCATGTTCAAATAACTCAATTACATACAAAAATACACAGACTGCCCAGAACTAAGATATGAAATCACATCAGAACTTACTGAAATCAGTCAAACAAAACATTAGGAAATGAGGGCAGAGCTTCAGTAAATAGCAGGATTTCAAGCAGTGGAATGATCACATTGCTTAGAGCAAAGGATCCTTTCAGGCACATGGATAAAGGGGTGACCAACAGTAAAAGGAGACACTGCTTTACTAAAAACACGTTCTGCTGAGAAGTGATAGGATATTTGCTACCACCATTTTGAAAATAGCACTGGAGTGTTCCACTGTGCTCCTGAGGAGAGTTGATGGGCTTGGACTTCAATATGTGATGTAAAGGAGCCAGGCCTATATCGCAGTTCTGGCATTGACATCTTTTTGGGCACACAAGCCACTTAACTCCTCTGTGCCTCTTTGCTGTGTCACGGATCAGCAATAGCTTCCTGCCTCCCAGGCAAGTCATCAGGACAAACATATAGCTATAATATCTGAGTCATTGATAACAGGGAGACTATGTGAAAACTTTGATGTAAGAGGTCCTCCGACACAGCAACTCCAGAGTTATTTATACTATCCTTCAGAAATAATTTAGATTGGTGATATTAAATAACTTCTTTCATTACATGAAGGCTTTCTTTGCCATGCTGCTCCCAGAGACAGCGGGCTGAACAAAAGCAGAGAGGGAATCAAAAGATTAAAGTGGTTACTTTTGTAGATAACCACTAACGACCAACGTACCTCAGCTACTACAGCTGCCTACCCAGCTCCCACCTCCACCAGGGTCTGGAGTCCTGGTAAAGCATAACACAGTATTTCAATACAGCACATAACACATGCCATGTAACACATGGTACCAGCTTCTGGAGAAATTTTTGTAACAGCTGTTGTAGCATTCATCTCAGGATGCAGTGCTAGGAAAGCAGGATTCCTCCATCTTTGCATTGCTGTTTCCCACTCATAGTAAACAGAAGCTTGAGAAATAAATAAAAACAAAACGAGAACAACCAACCAACCACAAATGTTTACTTTTTGCTTGCTTTGACTTTTCTGCAAGACATGGCACCCCTCTGCTGGGCAAGAAGAGATGAAATGGCAACGAGCTGCAAACCAAAGCTGACAGAACAGTACATAGACATAGGCCCATATGGTCTGAAAAGCAAATACAAGTGAGGCAATGTATGGCTGGCCATAAGGCTGAGCAAATAAGCAGCCCAGGTGCAAAACATTAAGCAAATACCAGTCACAATTTAGACTCAGTTCCCCAAACACAGTCCAAACAAGATTTTTCATAAAATCTCCTAAAATAAGACACCTTCATGGAGGTGACAAATGTTAGTTCTCCGACTCCAAAAATGATTGTTGCAATATTTAGGATAATAGCAAGCAGAACATTTAAGAAAACAAAAGCTTTTCAACCATGAAAAATGGAACCTGTGAGCTACAGTTTGCAGCAGATGAAGCTAGCTAGAGGAATTTAGCTGTAACTTTTGTATTTGTAACATTATTACTATTTTTTTTTTTACCTTAGGTATTAAATATATAGATGTGTGTATTTCCATATGTGTAAAATATGGCAATTGTAGTAAAGATAAAACAATTTCAGACATCAGTGGTGACTCAGATGAAAAAGCAAATTCCTACCAGATGCATGTGTTATCTCATACATTTAACTCTTACTCTGATCCCTGAACCACGTTAAGAAGAAGAGTTCAGTTTTCTCATTACCCTTAAGACTGGGATACAGTTGCCCATTTTGTTTCAGATTTCTTGTTCTGTTCTACCTTTGACTCCACTAGCTTTGCTACAGGGTAGGACAGTGCTCATTTTTAAACCAAAAAAAAATATTGCATAATAGTTCTGTTTAAAAGTAATGTTCTAGTACATAACACCTGGGAAATAATGTTTTTGTTAAAAATATAAATGCAAAACAAAGTTTGGTAACATTTTTTTGCCCTTTTATTAAAAAGTCATTACATTTGAGATACATTTTGTAGAGCTACCACAATTATAGCTCTGCTTTTCAGGTAACTAATTACAGACTACTACAAAGTGCCACAATGTATGCAGTTATTAGATTCTGGGTCATTTTTTTTTTGTACTGTGAAGTTCTGATTTTGATTCAGCTACACAAGTAATTCTGGTTTTAGCTTGCCTGTGTGATGACCAACCACAGTATATATATTAGCTTTAAATACATTAATTTTAGATATACATATTTAGCATAGTGTGGAGCTGCACCCAACACCTGCCACCAGATATTAAAGAGAACACTTCTAGGGTCTGTACCACGCAGACCGATTGTTTTGAGCTTCATGTTGTACTGATGCTTTGAAGTCCATCACTCCAAGCCTTCTGCTTTATGAACCAAATTTTGCTGCATTCAGAAACCCTGAGAGAACAGGGAAGAGGACAAGTGTTACTGACAGAAGCAGACACAGAGTCTCAGTAAACACCACTTTTCCTACCAAACCTACACGAACAGTTCAGCTATACACCAGTCCCTTTAACAAAGAAAGAGGGAGGCAGAGGAGCATATCTTTTCCCAGCCAGCATCCAAATTCCCAGAAGGACCAATTTACATAAGAAAAAGCCATCATTCTGTTCACCAAGATGCATAACATTGTTCCATTTTCCGCTCCTGTTTTAGGTCAAGTGGAAGCTTCTTTTTTCAGTTTTTCTAATACTTCATCTGGTGTCAGCGATACCAAAATCTTCACCACTTTATCACGGGATTTACCACCCTGTGTTAGAAACACACAAAAGTCATCTTGAAGAGAATCACCACCAAACACACATTTCGAAGGAGCAGTGATGCCAATATATAGATACTTAAAATAACTCTCAGTGAGTAGCTGTGCAGAAATAACAGGCGTCAGAAATGGTTCTTCAACATCTTTTCTTGTTATTTTAAAGGTCGAAAGCAATGTCTTATCTGTTCTCCTTTTAAAACCAGCTACAGCTCCCAGAGCACGCCCTGAACAAATGCCTTTCTTATAGACTAGAACAAAAAGTGAGGAATGGTAAGTTTCCATTATTCAACTGCATTAGCTAGAAGCAAAATTCCAACTGTATCTTGTTTGAGGTTTTAAAAAGTTTCTGCAAACATTTGGTAGATGTGGACTTTCAGATCTTTCTTCAACGCTGCCTCCCACAGAGTATTAGTTACTCTTAAGCTGAACTCTCCAGTTGATAATATCAACTAAATGACAACAAGCTGCACTGTATATAGCATATAAGATATTTGGATTCAAATAGCTGTTATTTTAGATATTACTGACTTGTTCTTATATTACTGACAAAACTGCTGTTTTACATAGGAACTGGCAAACGTGAAACTTCACTTCATTTTGCCTGAAGCTACACATTTGCCAGGAGTCAGTAAAAACAAGAGAAACAAACATGCTACATTTTAATCTATGCACAATAAAAAGTTTGGAAGATCCAGTTGGGACATCCTGAAGGAGAAAAATGTCTTAATCCTGCTATGTGGAAATAAGGCAGGAATTTAAAAATGAAAAATAGTCCTTTGAAGCAGTCTAGACAGTCGATAATGAAAATCAAGCTTTTTGGATAGAAACCTGGTAAGCCTGGTATTATAGCAAACCACGCCACATTGGATTGTTTTGTCAGTGTTACCATGAAGCAAGTAGCACACAACAGACAGCAACCAGTGCAGAAACCACCCAGAGTGTGCACCTACCAGATCAGAATGGAAAAACACAAAAAGTACAAGCTTTAACACAGTGCTCTGCCAAGAACAAACAGTGGTCTGAGGAAAAGAAACACTAGCTTGTAATTATTTGGACACTGGAGGACTGAGTTAAAGTCAGAAAATGTTGGTCCCTTTTATGCTTTGCTCTGCTTAGCATTTATATTTATTAATTAAATCTGAACAACTCTTCAAAGTGGGAAAACTGTAATTTGTAAAACGTTGACACAATTAAAGAATTTACCCAGGAGTCAGGAAAAAAAGGACCAAACCTCAGCACCTCTACCTTTCCCCAAAGCAGGGCTCCGTTCATTGATCATATTGCCACTGACCATCTTTTAAAAGACTTCTCCAACTAGTGCATTAAATATAGAAAAATAAGAGGCACCATTTTGCGTTGAGTCCTCACCTTCACAAAGTGTACATTAACACGGTTGGAAAAACTGACATTTAAGTACAATAAACGGATAAAATTAATTATTTATTCAGCGTGATGAATAAAACAGTGTCCACCTAACATAGTCAATACGTGTCAACACAGCTCACACGAAGAAACTCCTAAGGCCCAGCCAATGGTGATGTTTCCATACACTCTACTTTATATGCCCCAGCTACTTGTCAGAAAGTACAGAAGTGCCTTCAAAAAATGAATGCAATTTTTTTTCCCCCCTAAAATGCACGTTTCCTGCAAAGCACAAATTATGTGAGCTGAATTTGAACTGGAAACAAAAGGTTCTGTAAGAGCCACAGAAGACACCTCCCAAATACATTTCTGAAAACATGTAACTAGACCTATTTTGATTAAAGATCTCAAGATCAGCGGTGGTTCCTCTTATCCCGGTTTTCTTTCCTTAGCAAATCATCCCATTAAGTCAATTAAAAGCTTTTCAAGTGCCTTTTGGACTGAACTTGGAGAGCAGCTTGCTGTACTCAATGAATAACATTCCAGAGCCTCGAATTTACAGCGCAACAGAATAAGACTGAAAGGAATAAAAGAAAAAAAAAAGTACCTTCTCTAAAATAACGTCACTCTTCTTCACCTGTAGCACCTTGGAGAGGTAGCGGCACAGCTCCGCGTTCGCCTCCCCTTCTGAGGGCGGTGCAGCAATAGCCACACCTACCGCCTCGGCTGTCACATCTACAACAGGGAACGGAACGGCCCCGCGCTCAGCAGGACGGCCGCAGCTCCGCACAGCACGCGCCCCCGCTCCGCCCTCCCGGCCCGGCGGCGCCCACCTGTCACGGCGCTGCAGCGGGAGCCGGGCTTGGCGCGCACCGACACCCTGACGCCGCCGTCGCTCGCTGCCAACACCGGCCCCGCGGCGGCGCCGGGCTCGGCGGGCTCCTTCCCGGCCGCCTTTCCCTGAAAGAGAGAAACGGGCGTCGGGACCGTCGGCATGAAGCGCTGGGCGTCGGTCCCGGCCGTCCCGCCCGCACCTTCCGGGGCATGGCCCCGCCGCGGCCCCGTAGCGGCGCCGCCAGCCTCTGACGGAAGCCGGCGAGGGCCAGCATGGCTCGGCGCGGCCCTTCCGGGAACGGCGCTACGCCCCACCCCTCTGCTGCGCATGCGCGGCACGGCCGCTCGGCGCTACGGAGCCCGAGCGGAACCGAGAGGTGGCACGAAGACGTCCGAAACTTCGACCCGGCACGGCAGGCACATCGCTGCACGCATCCGTGGCCTGCAGATGACCGTAGAGCAAGTTGCACGCAAATAGGCCATAGTTGATAATAATTCTTTAGTATTAGATTACCCAGTCAAAATAATATCATTACAAGGCTTGTATTCCCATTTTCACATTGTACATTTTCTTATAGGCACATATGTATATACAGTGGCTATTTCTGTAACCAGCTCTATATTCCAAAACAGCCCTTCTTAATTAAAAGAGATTCTGGAAAGATCCATTCATTGCAGGATTTGCTATAGCATTTCTTCACTGCAGCTGCTGCCTGGAGTGCTAAGTCCATCAACGCTCCAGGACTCATTCAACAACTCACCCCGATAGCAATACGAATCCAGCTTTGTTGATGTACTTGGAAAAAAAAAATTAGTAGTAATTCATGTCCACAGGGTCATTCCAAGGTTATTTTACAGAGAAGTGCAAGCTGGGAGTACAGCAGCAGAGGTTCTGTCTTTGTAAGACAAGTTGAGGAACAGGTACAGGTCAAATTCATAACCAGTATGTATTTTCCAGTTCAAGAAATGAATTAAACTATATGAGAAACAAAGGGTTCAAAATACAAAGCCATTAAATCACAACATACCATTCAAAACAATCTTCAGCATACAGAGTACTTATTCCACACTTTGTTAAAAGGAAAAGTTAAATTAGGTTCCACCAACCACGCCGCAGATAAAATCGCTTTCCTGGTACCCCTCAAGCAAGTCAGTTCAGCTTTTACACATTCATGTCATTTCACAGCACTGCCTAGCTCACTAGGGGTGACAGTGAAAGTCCACATGTGGATGATCATATGAAATTATGTATAAAATATTATTTCTGGGATCTGTCCATCTTCTATCGATGTACCATTATTGTTACCTGGTGAACTATAAAAGACAAAGCATGTTTTGCTAGCAGTAGGAGATTCGTGGATTACTTTCTTCAATCCTTTTGTTCCATAGTGGGAATCAGGACCCTGAAAAACAGCAGGAGATTAGCAGCAGAATGGAAATGCAAGCATGACTCACAAAATGTTGAAGTTTAAACACTACTGACTTACATCATTTTAACAGTAAAAAAATGCCTGTAACCACATAACAGAAGTTACATAATAAATTACAGATAACAGAAACAGATCCTGTAAGTCTAAATAAAAAAGGTTTCTCAACATAGACCTAAACCTTTTGGTTTTATCCCTCTAATAACAAATAAACGTTTCCTGATACTTCTCCTTGTCATACAAGTTGTGTGTATATTCTCACTTAATCTCCCACTTCAGATGCAGCACTGTTTTTTTTCCAATCCACTCGACTTTGAATTCTGAACAGGAAATTATCTTTAAAATAATATTATTTATAAAAGATTTTTACAGAAAACATTGAATGAGTCAATTTCCCTAGAACAAATCATTATTGTCCTCTATTTTAGCAGTATATAAAAGCAAGAAAAGAAAGCTCTCAGTGTTCTTGACTACAACTAGTCCTTAACAAAAGAAACCAAACAAGTTTTGATAAACACAGCTGCCAGATTTAAATATTCCAAATAGTGCTTCTGCCCACACATCCACAGTGACTTCCATTAGGATTTGTTTCAACTCCTGTAACTGGGAAGTCACAAAGAATCCAGTTATAAATTTTGTGCTGTGGTACAGAACAGAGAGAAAGCAGCTTTAAAAGTTGCCATACAGTTTAGCTACTGCCTCCTCTCCATACAACACCTAGAATAAGACCCCAAAACGACACATTCCCATCACAAAACAGATAGAAGATAAACCTTTGCATCATAATAATGTTTTATTTTATACTGTTAAGCATTCTTACTTTTAATGTTGCACAGGCTGTGTAGCAAACTGTTGGCAAAATCTCTATAGGTTCTTTGAACATAACTCTGAATGTACTGGCAGTTCCATCACAGCTAAATCCAGTATCATTTTGTCCTAGAGTTTGATTCTTCTCATAATCAATTATCTGCAGAAAAAACATGAAAACTGCTTTTAGATTTACAAACTTGCAAAAGGTTCTCATTGTATACACACTGGAACGTTACAAGAAAACACTTGCCTATTCCACCCAGTTCAATTACAACAATATTGCACTCTCAGATTAAAAGGTAGCTTCAATTTCCTAACAATAATACCTGGGGTATTGAGGGCTGACCCGGCCTTGTACTGAACCACAGATTCTGAGTTTTACACAGGCTGTCCATTCTGTATGCCCAATCTAGCCCACAATGCCACACCAACCAGGTTAAAGGCTTTGTCTGAGAGGAGATAAATAGCTCTCAAACCTTTAGCTTTTGACCTTAATATACCACACATGATCCTGTAACTTAGATTTGCTGATCTTTGCACACCTACACAGCCCGCATGAGGGAAGCACATGAGGCTGGACCTAAATGTTTTACTGGCTGTGGTTCATTCAGTAAACAAGATTTTACAGATGAACAGTCAATGACGTGTTCCTGGAATAAAGCAGGGACTTGTTCTTCCATGCTTTATAGTGTTTATATCTTTATGTTCACATCTCATATTTCTTTTGCCTTCAGTTTTACTGGCAAACAGGAATCACTAGCTAGGACACCACAAACAGCAGATATCACACTTCTCACTCCATTTCTAATCCATACTGTTGAACTTTCCTTGCAGAAGTAGGATATCAGAGCTTTATAGTAACATGCACATTTCTAATGATTATTCCACTAAAAACAATCAAAAACAACAACCACTACCATGAAGCTCTGTTTCAGGCAAGGTATGCTCCCTGAAACAGGGTTTCATGTTTTTTTTTTTTTTTTTTTTCCATCCACAAAGTAAATACTAACAATTCTAATACTGAAGTCATATTCCTTTATCATAACAGACTGGTGTGATTTAACCTGGTAGGCAGCACAGCACCACACAGTCATTTGCTCCACTGAGGGAAAAAAAAAGCCAAAGTTGAACTTGTGGGTTGAGATAAAAAAACGTATTACAAAGGCAGAAGAAATAATGGCAATGGCTCATCATGCACTGACCAGTGCTCAGCCAGTCCCCAAGCAATGGCTGCCCCCGACCCCACACCAACTCATCACAACTTTTCATTTTTTTCTTTCCACCTGATGTCATATGGTATAGAACATCCCTTTGGCCAGTTTAGGTCAGCTGTCCTGGTTCTGCCCCCTCCCAACTCCTTGTGCCCCCTCAGTTCCCCTCACTAGCAGCAAAGTATGAGAAACTGAAAAGGGCTCAGCTCTGCGCAGTACTTCTCAGCAACAATTAAAATATCAGTGCATTACCAGCAGTAGCTTAATATAAAGTAAAAATCCCCAAACATGCCTAGTATGGTACTGAGGAACTAGCAGTAACTCTTTTGTTCTGCAGATCCACTCTACTGCACTATACTACTCATTCACATAGATGTGTGGTTTGAGAAAAAAACAAATTGATAACATTTCAAATTAAGAAGTTGCAGCTAAGTTTTTAAACTGAGAAATATGGAAAAGCCACCAAATTCCTTCAAAACTTCACCCTAGATACACTCTTTTTGTAAGAGTCAGACACAGAATTCCTGTCCTTAAGTATAAAATAGAGCAGTAAGCATCAAACAGGAAACAGAAGACAAACTGCCCTTTAAATACAACGTGAAGAAATAAACTGAAACAGAATTACCAACAAACACTAGATGTCTATCAAATAAGGTGGGGACAATTAAGATGGGGAGTGTCTGTTCCTAACTGAAGTCACAGGTTCTTTCACAAATTTTTCCACACACTTAGTAAATCAATGCAGTGTTGTACTGCCAGGTTTTGACATGCACAGCACAGTAACAGTGCAGCTGTGGAAAGTTAGGACTTTGTTAGAAAGCTGAGAGTCAAACCAAAGCTAAACTCAATAAGAGAATTCAAATGGATTGAAATTCCATACTTAAAAGGGGAGGATGCAGTGCTGCATCAATATTACTAGAAGGCAGTCCTCAGCACAGTGTGCTAAGAGAGATCAGACAGGCTACAGGAGCAGGAAATAGTTTTAGTGGTGTCTTCAACTCGCCTCTCAGACTGGGCAAGTGTCACATCAGGACACTTGCAGGGGGGACATTTTTAGATACTATCACTGATCGTTGCATGAGCTTGCTCACCACTTGCTCAGTAGGAAGAAACACAACCCTTCATTTGGTACTGAGTGATTAGCAGGATCAGATTTAAAATTTCATAATGGAAACACTATGTAACAGTGTCCATAATATACTCAGAGTCAACATTCCTACACGAACAACAAAATCAAATCTACCACAGCTGTGCTGAACTTCAAAAAGGAAAATAAGGAAGCTGGCTCAAAAGAAGCTAAAATAAGAGTCTGAGCTCCATTCTCCCAACATCCAGAGCTATTCCACTAGGGAAGATTTAGTGCACATCTCTCTTCTACAATCTTCTGAGGAGTCTGCTGTTGATGAATGAACATGTTCAAATATGATCAGATCCAAAAGAAGGAGACCTTACCCACTGCTCTCACAAGTATTGCTCCCATCTCCTCATTACTTCTTCCCCTATGAATGCAAAGGTCCTAACATTTCTGGTCACACTTTCATAAAGCAGTAGCTTCTGAATAGTTTTCATTATTCTTTTTACTACCTTCTACACTTTACAGTGAGAGACCAATACTTCCCACAGGACTCAAGATGTGAGCATATCCTGCTTTCATGAAGTAACACAGTGCCATCTTATCTTTTTTCTAGTACCTTCATGATGACAGTGGACTTTTTTAGCAGACTTTTTTGGCAGTCGTTACATATGTCAATAATTTCTGACAGCTGCTAATGACAAATGCAAGATTCTTTCCTGAATTACTATAAACCTTATTAAGAGGACAGACTTAACGCAGTACTGAACCGATTATAAAGCTGTGAAATTCTTTTATAGAAAACTTACAGGAATTTGAGGTTAGACCACAGAAGTATTCTGCAGCATGATTCATTGGGAGTTACCAAACTGAAAGACCAAACCAGTCTCAAGAAATACCTATTCTG